ACAGTTACATCAGCAGAAAGATCTTTCTCAAAACGAAAAATTGTCAAAAATCATTTGCCATCTCGCATTTGCCAAGACTGACTAATGGCTGCTTTCAATTATATCAATTGAAAGCAAAGTTGCTAAAAAGTATAAATTTTGATAACCTGACAAAGGAATATAGAAAAATGAGCCAGAAAAGACTTATGATGAATCGAGATATAGCATTATTATGTAAAATTATGATGCTGAAATATTAATTTTGCAATCTATAGTTTTTCTTCATATTTCACTATTATTCCTATTATATTTTGTAAGTAAAATATTTTTTTAAATCTTTACCTTTTAGTACCTTTAATAGTACTTTTCCTTACTTTTTGAACAAAGGGGCTCCGCATTTTCTTTTTTTTTTTTTTTATTGTATTTTGAGGGAGAGAGAGAGAGAGAGAGAAGGCAAGCAGAGGAGAGGGGAAAGGGAGAGGGAGAGAGAGAATCCCAAGTAAACTCCATGCTCATCACACAGCCTGTTGCAGGGCTCGACTCCATGACCCTGGGATCATGACCTGAACGAAAATCAAGAGTTGGATGCTCAAGCCACTGAGCCACAGAGGCGCCCCTGGGGGCATTTTCATTTTTGAACTAAAAATACTTATTTTAGTTGTAAGTTCATTAGAGATTCTTTAGTTTCTAAAGCCAGATCTCAATTCAAATTAGAATGTTGAAGAATTTTTAGAGGAGTGAGTTGGAGAATGCTATTCAACTTGAGATTTAATCCTGAAGGGATGGAAAAACATTTTTAGTAAAGAGAAGCATAGTGGCGCCTGGGTGACTCAGTTGAGTGTCTGACTTCGGCTCAGGTCATGATCTCACAGTCTGTGAGTTCAAGCCCCACGTCAGGCTCTGTGCTGACAGCTCAGAGCCTGAAGCCTGCTTCGGATTCTGTCTCTCTCTCTCTCTCTCTCTCTCTCTCTCTCTCTCTCTCTATGGCCCTCCTCCACCCATGCTCTGTCTCTCTCTCAAAAATAAATAAATGTTAAAAAAATTAAGAAAAAAAAAGAGATGCATAAAGCGGAAGATTTCTCAAGACCCGTCATTCTCTTCAATCACAGAAGCTGCTGTAATGGCAGGGAGGGAGGTGGGATGCCTTCTTTTGACAACTGTAGTGATGGTAATGATAATGATGGCAATAAGTGCAAATAAGTCATCCTGACTAGTATTTTCTTTCCCATGTCTTGTCTTAGCTTGACTTGACTTGCTGTATCTCATTTAATTCTCCCAACAACACCATGAAGCTGGTACTAGCACAAATAAGGCAGATGCCGAAGCAACACTTTGAATCCAGACTAATTCACTGTCACGTACACCTAGTGAGTGGCAGAGCTAGGACTTGTCCTCACACCAAAGTCCGCCATTCCACTCAAAGTCCACCAACCACCAAACAGTTCCTCAGCGAGTGAAGCAGCTATATGTTTTTCTCTTGGCCGAGCTTGCTAGGATTGTGAGAATAACAGAAGAGAGGCAAGCAGCCTGACATGTGCTATACACACACCCTAACCCTTGTTTCTCAGCTTGTTCTTTAAGTGCCATCTCCTCCATGCATGGCTCTGCCATGCCCCCCATGACCACCAGCAGGTATTCTCTCCCTCCTCTGAGTCCCAAAGTGCTTTATGCCCTGCCCATGGCATTTACAGTTTAACATCTTTATTAAAAAATTTTGATGTCTGGGGCGCCTGGGTGGCGCAGTCGGTTAAGCGTCCGACTTCAGCCAGGTCCGCGATCTCAGTCCGAGTTTGAGCCCGCGTCAGGCTCTGGGCTGATGGCTGATAACAGAGCCTGGGCCTGTTTCCGATTCTGTGTCTTCTCTCTTCTGCCCTCCCCATTCATGCTCTGTCTCTCTCTGTCCCAAAAATAAATAAATCAAGAAAAAAAAATTAAAAAAAATTTTGGATGTCTATTTATTTATTTTGAGAGAGCATGCACAAGCAGGGTAGGGGCAGAGAAGAGAGAGAAAGAGAAAGAGAGAGACAGGGAGGGAGGGAGGAGGAGGGAGAAATGCCATGCAGGCTCCATGCTGTCAGCACAGAGTCCAAAGTGGAGCTCAAACTCAAGAACCGTGAGATCATGACCTGAGCCAAATCAAGAGTCGAGACACTTAAACTGACTAAGCCACCCAAGAGCCCCTACAGTTTAACGTCTTTATGCCATTATTTATGTGCATATCGCCTTCCCCAGTCAACAAACTATACTAGTAGTTCACAAATGCAGGCATGTAACTGAATCATCTTTACACCTTCACAGATCCTACACATGGTGATTACTAGCGAACTCACTAAATCAACCAATTTACATGTGAATTTTTATAGGTACAACCTATACTAATTCCCTTTAAGGTTTTGGGTTGTGGGAAGAAGAGTGGAAGCTATTGATGTAACATCATAACAGCCAACAATGTATTTTGCAAAACAACTAAACTTCAGAACTAAAATTCAACTGCAATGAAGGCAGAATATACCTCGAGGCTATCTTTATAATCAGAGTCGTGACCACTCAGTTTAAAATTTAAGTTTATGAAAAGGGTATGTCCCAATCCTTGAGTTCACAGGTTTCCAAAGACCACACTGGTGTCACAGTAAGCCAAGGAAGAGATTTATTCCACCCCTCTAGCTCCCAAGAGCTGTATCTGGAAGGGAGCCAATTCAAAGAGAGCACTCACCTTAAATAACACCGTCTAGCTCGTGCATTAACGTGCACAATGACCCAGATTATTCCCCAGTGTCTTCCAAACCAGATTGCTGTTTGGCGCTTCTATTTATTCTTTTTATAAAACTTATCACTTGCAAATTTTCAGCCCTAAGCTGAAGCTAACCAAGAGGTCTTAGTTCTTTCACTGACAACAGGTGAGTACTGCCAGTTTGTTCGAGCTGCCTGCAACTAGTACCTTTCGGCAAGAGCAAACTTGCAACTCACCTCCTGAATGATGCCCAAACTTGTCGTCCTGACTTCAAGCCAAGAAGCAGCTGGTACTACTGGAAGAGGATGTGGAGGAGCTTGGAGATGGAAAAGGCGTAATCAAAAGGCTGCTAAGTGAGGCTGTGGGGAAGAAAATTTGAAAGTTCAAAGTCCAGGTAAATGAATCCTCTCAGCTACACAACATACATGCCAAGTGACCTAAATTGGGTTCTAGCCATATCCAGCAGGGGGGAGACTATGACTTCTCTCTTACAAAGAAAACATCCTTTTAAAAGGAAATAAGTTTAAAAAATAGGATTACAGACATAGCAACTGCATCAATCATGAGGCCCCACATTAAAAGGCAACATAATTAATACTAACTTCATCAGAATGTAAATGCAGATTTCAGGACAACGGTTCACACAGCATCATTGTTATACACCTGATAACTAATGTCATATACAATGTTTATGGACATATATTTTCTCCTCTTAACTACTTCTTCATTTTCTATTTTGAGGTGAAATCCAGGCAAATAAGTGGTTCACAGTATCCTCTCTCCAATCCCTATCTCCAAATACACAATACATATTTATGCTCCTTCAGCAACCAGCTCCCCATTGCCACTTCCTTGGCTGTGAAAAAGCAACCTCTAGTCTTAAATATATTTTCTGCTTGGATTACTTTTTTGCCTCCAGAGCCTCTCTCTGCTTCTTTCTGTCTGCAAGTATTAAATGCTGCACTTAGGCTCTCAGTGAGCTGACATGCCAGCCCAGACTTCTTTAACAGGCAGGAGGGACCCGTCCCTTTCAGGGTAGGCAAAGGCATTCTTACAAAGCTAGAGCTGCTTGATGGAGGTCTACTGCTTTGGAAGAATGAAAGAAGATAGACTCTTTACTTTCCTTGGGCTAAGGAATTAGACACTGAAAAGTCAGTCCAGTGGAAAAGAAAATGGGGTGCTATGTTGAAAGCTGGTCAATGTTTTCAGAAGCAGATCACAGGACAAAGGAAATTTCAGGACACATAATATATTATGCTCATGGATATCACTTGATAAGGCAATTTACCATATAAAGTTTTACATTTTAATTTATGCTTTCA